CTACTATTCCGTAAATGATTACTGACCAAAAGTCAAGTATTCGTATAGAGAAAGTGACGATGCACAATAAAGGACAAAAAAACTGGATTGCATAAAATTTGAATAAAAATGACGAGATCTGAGGGATTAGATTCTCTAAATCCCTAAATATAAGTTCAATGTGGAGAGAAGAGAGAAAAAAGGAAAATGGTGTAACAAAATCCCTTGATTGAAGGAACAAATAATGGATTGGGAGCCTTTTAAGGTGGATTGCATATATTTTGTAACTAAAACGCGTTTAGGTTGGGTAAATACCAGTACATGAACATTTTCCGTAATAAGGTTTCAAATAGTGTATAGGAATGAAAAAATTATAGCCTGTTTGGCCAAAACACTACTAGAAATTCGGCAAAAACCGACCAAGAAAAACCGACCAAAGTAACCGGCCAAAAATTCAAAATATTTTAATTTTTAATTTTTTTTAGTCGGTTTTCTTTGGCCCAAAATTGCGGGAAACTATTTTTGAGTCCTGCGAAATTTATTTTTCAAGAAATCGACCAATTTTGGTCGGTTTTTGCAATTAAAATAAATAAAAATTAATATTAAAAAAATCGACCAACTTTGGTCGGTAAATTCGGCCGGTGATTTTAAAAAATCGACCAACTTTGGTCGGTAATTTTATTTTTTAATAAAACCGACCAACTTTAGTCGGTTATTTTCGTGCAAAAATACAATTAAAGAGTATAAATAAAAAAAACGACAATCTTAAAACAAATGCACCAATGGTCTAGTGGTAGAATAGTATCCTGCCACAGTGCACACCCCGGTTCGATTCCCAGACGATGAATCTTTTGATTACATAATTAAAATACCGACCAACTTTGGTCGGTTTTTTTTGCAATTTTCTTTTTGAATTTAATTTACCGACCAACTTTGGTCGGTATATTAAAATGACCATCAAAATACCGTCCAAGCGTATTTGGTCGCGTTTTGGTCGGTAATTGGCCATAACCGACCAAAGTTGGTTGGTTTTTGGGTCGGTATTTACCGGATTTCTAGTAGTGAAATTGTATTTTTAGTCAACACTGTAAAATTTGCCAAAATTAAGGTGTTTGTCCAAGCTTTTTGAAAAAAACAAAAGTGCTTTTGAGTAGAAACAGAAGCAATTTTAGAGAAACAGAAAATAATAAATTCTCTCCAAAAGCACTTTTGAGAAAAATATCCTTAGAAACACTTTTTAAAAGCTTGGCCAAACACTAATTATTGCTCAAAAATACTTTTCAAATTAATTAGTCAAACACAAACTACTTGTTACCAAAAGTACTTTTTTTAAAAAGCACTTTTGGTAAAAACACTTTTCAAAATAAACAGATTTTAGAAATTTGGCCAAACATGCTATAAGTTTCATACACTAACCATATAATTGGTTCACTTATAAGATAGACACTAATAAACATTAATTAGTAACTTGATGAAAAAATTACTTATAAGAAAATTCAATTTTAAGTAAACGTATTTATACTGTCAATATATATAACTTAAATTCTAGTAAAACATGTACCAACGAACACGACCTAATTTGCAAAGAGCAATTAAATCTTTGTTTCATAATGATCGACTTGAAAATAAACCGAACTTTTTGGTGATTAGATAGTGAGAAATTTTCAGAAACCACTATGTTTTAGTGATTATTAGCTTGCTATAGCTACCATTTACTAAATTACTTCATATAGCTATGTTTTCAGTTGTTATAGACTGTATTGATGTATTTTCGCTACTGTATTCATAGATTCAGTAGCAAAACTCGGCAGAAAACAGGGGAATTCAGCTAAGCAGAGAATGTATTCGACTGTATTCGTGAATACAGTAACGGAATTTGCGAAAAAAAGGTTTCAACTGTTTAAAAACGTTAAGTGAATCAATTAACGCGATAGACTCCTAATATAACTCAACAAACTCAATTATAACACACAAAATTTGTATTTCCAGTTATACAAAAGATTCTCAACCGAAAAACACCCCAAAAACAGAGCATCTTTAGAGATTCAATCCATCATTTCTGTTTTTAGTGGTATCTAATCTTTGGTGATTAGATAGCTAAAGAAGGTAACTAAGGCATACATGTGACTTTTTTTTACTATTCCCATGATCGCTCGTTTGGAAACATTTGAATATTAAGAATAATGTAAGAAATACAACATTGACAACAAAAGGATTTCAAAGGAGGTCCCCTACATATCATTGCAATTCGAAAAATGAAGTTGCTTTAAAGTAAAGCTAAATGAGTATTATGTCCCACATGCAATTGTTTCCAAAGAACAAATAAACAAAATGATTTTTGCCTTCTAAAGCATGTAAAATTTAGTTAAAAAGGAATAGAAATTATATTGAGATTGTTGTTATGAATTTCCAAAAGTATATTTGCTAAATTACAGGAAAAAGGGTATCACGATGCTCTTAATTTCCTCTTGATAATCATTTCCTCCAAGATATATAATATCTTGTCCAAGAGACTAATTGGTCTTTTTTCTTTCTACTTTTTGTAACTACTGTTCTTTTACCCTACTTATAGCAAATGAATATAAATGGACAAATATTTATTAACAGCTTGCTAACATACAAAATGCATAGTTGTAATTCAATTCATCAAAGCAAAAGATACAGTATGGTAGCATTTTTATAAATGTGGAAAACTATCTTGCTTGTGCTACCTGAGACTTGAAATTCATTTGGTGGAAAATGAACAAACCCATGCCACATTGTGCATCGATCGTTTGGTTGGGAAACAAGTTATCCCATAATTAATTATCCCAAAATTATTTATCTTGGGATTCGTTATCTCACCCACCCATAGAGATAAAAAAACACTACAATCCCGGGATAACTAATTCCGGGATTAGTTATACCACGATTTATCGCAACCAAACATGAGATAAACTCATCTAAAAAATAATTCCGGAATTCATTATCCTTTAACCCTCGTACCAAACAAGCCCCGAAGGTTTGTAAACTTTTTTCCTAGTTTTAGCATGCAATATTTAAAAACTGCACTGTATCTCAAATTCGCTAAAGACTTCATTCCTAATAGTGTTAGGACCAATAATTTCAGCTTGGGTAAAATCTATAAACAATTCAAGAAACTTAGTTTAACTATCTGAAAATACAGTGAAACAATAGATTAAAGCTCTAACATAACTGGTGACAACAAAAGATGTTCTAAAGTTCGCGCTTAGCACATGATCACAATTTTGCTACCTTTACCTCCATGGACTCAAGCTGCTGGTCAAACAATGATAAATACCTGGGGCCAATGCACTTATTTTTGACATGATTCACAAGAAACCAAAGAGGCAAAGACGGAGCCAAGATTTGAATTTTATGAGTTCTGAACATGCCATCGTACCCATAGCTCGTCTTAGTTACCGAGTTCGCAATTAAATATTTATATATATTCAATAGATTTTCTAATACAAATATACATGGTATACGCAAAAGTTACTAAATTCGTTCGAACCCGTATTCACTCTTTTTCCACATTTGCTGCTCTCCACCTTTCAGCTTTTCTCTTCTTTCAATCAAATATAGGTATATCCCAAATTAGTAGTGGTTAATACAGTCTTATGCATCCATGATCTATTTCAAAATTTAGAGGGAAATATCCTAGTTATCCTAACTGCAATTCCCTCTTTATCTGCTGATTTGTAACAAGGCTCTGTTTAGAGCAATTCATATTGGTTGGATTCAGCCTTTAGCTTCACCAACCCCCTAGTGATGCATCTTCTCTAAAAAAATCGATTTAGACTACTTAAGACACATTTACACCTTGGTTATCTATCCATCTAATTTCGGCCATTTGAAGCAAAAGGAGGGGTGTACTAATTCAATAAAGGGTCCAACCTTTCAAGCAAAAATCAAACAAGATAATCATCTTGCTTAAGAATGTTTGAATTTTTGTCTAGTTTGCATTTTTGTCTACCTTTTTTCCTTGTCGTTAAGAATACTTGTTTAAGACCTAGTCTACTTAATCATCATAGGTTTTATTTCTCCACTTTTGGCTACCTTTTTTGCCCAATTTTTCAATGCTTATAATTAACAAACTCTTTACACTAATAGTCACTTATATAGACATTGGAAGACAACCCATACAACCATGATAGTCCTCTATGATCACTTATTTTCCATGGCTTTAACATCCATCCATCACTCTGCTTCTTTTGGAGCACCTGTGTATCAATCTCTCTTATCTATTTGGCTATTCTTGATTTCTATATGAGGATCACTTATGAGTTGCAAAAAGCAGGAGTGAGATTTTATCGTATAAGAGGAACCAAACTAAGAACAAGGATTTTACAAGTTTTCTGCAGCTGGAGGCAATCCGAGCACTGGTTAAGAAATTGATATGATGAATATACGCGCAAGTACTTAGCATGCTGAACAGAAGGATTCTAAGTCATATTATAGTAAAGCTCCAGAAAAAAATTATTTCTACCCAAAAAAACCACGGTATGCATCTTAGATGCCATATTAATAATACTGCATAATTTTTACCTTGTAAAAAAGGGAAAAGGAAACCAATGAGAAGATAGGGCAATACTGCTACAGATGCTTAACATAATAACGACAGCATTCTTATTGCCACTGCACTGCATCAGTTCTCCAATTCAATCAAATAATGTTTGAAAGAAAGGAATAAAGGTGAAAGCTCTGAAAGAATGATACCTCTTGCCCCTTGCTTCACTTAGGTAACATGAGTGTCAAATGCAGGAGAAAGATGAAACAAAAAAGAACTGCATCAGACAATCGACCAATTTATAAAATATGGGAAATTAATATGTGGAAATCACTATGCTGTCAATTTATCATGTACTTGGGACACAACAATTTATCACTTTATATTATCATCTGTTCTTGATCCTGGTCGATCTAGGATATTCTAGCAAAAAAAGAGAAATCCAAAGCAAAGACCAGAATTAAACAACCCACCTCTGGAAATTGAAAATAAGCAGAAAAAGAACATTGTATACCAAACAAATTAATCAGTGATCTCTATAAACAGCTAATAATTTTGTTGTCTTTTAATAGGTAAAAAGATGTGGTCTCTTAATAAGTTAATTTCTCACCCTTCATTGAACATTATCTGAAAGTACGCATTCTTTTACGATTGGAAAATTCAGATAATTGATTTCAACAATTACAATTCTGAGATGCCAAAACCACTTGGATTTGATGTGGAAACCCGACAAGTGAATACACCTGCTTGCATTAAGCAAATATTACGGCCAAAATAGAAGGAACAGGAACCAGTTCATGAAAACATCAAACCATCGTTCTGTCATACCTAGTAAACTATGACTTTCACTTTATATGTAACAAAGAATTGCCAATATGCATCAAAGAGCCAAATGCCATCTTCTCTCCATAAAATAACTGATGACTAAGGTTCTTGCTTGACCTGCATTGAGAGACGTCATGCTAGGTGAACGTCAACATCAAAATAAAAGACAAGAATTGTGAGTATTAAAGATAGGGGAAAATAAATCCTTACTGCAGTGGCATTTTCTTCTTCAGTCAGCATGCTCACGGAAACGTATGATATTGTTGATAAAGCTCCTCTCGCGACGATAGCTGAAGATTAAGATAGATAAGACTCATAAATACACATGCCATGCTTTTCAGAATACAATTTAGTTACAGGACTTCCAAATTAAAGCATTCAAGTTTTGATGTTCTGTATTTGAGCCTAGTTCACTACACTTCTAGTCCACAGAGTGCAATGGACAACAAAATGTTAGCGCTGCAAAGGTCATATTCGTAAGTTCCCTACAAACTTACATGATAAAGGCTGCTAGCATGAAACTGGTGATGCCCACTATGAAGTGAACACTAAATGTCTTCCAGAAGTCGTCCCGATCCAAAAATAACTTTTCTGAAATTAGAGTGACTACTCCAGAAAGAAGCAGAAATGTCCAACCAGAGGGAAGGCAGCTACGAAAGGAAAATGAGGACGAACCCTGAGAAAAAAAATCCAAAGAATAGATCATCGTCTGCATCCAAGGAAATTTTTGACTTCTGAAATACTTAAATATCCAAAATCCTCAAGCATCAGGAAAGTTCTTGGTTTTCATGATGTAAAGCAAAATAATTTCACATGCCTAGCAAATACCTGGAAATAGTTCCTGATGAATATTGCTGAGTAACTGATCCTTAAAGCCATATCTTTCAACAAGTCAAGGAACTAGCGTTACAAACATGACATTCACTATCCTCGACAACCTAATCAGAACACGCCACCAAACTGTAAGCCCTTGCCTTATTTTTGAACCAAGATCTGCAGTGCGAAACACTGATCAACAATTTTCCCACAAAAAAAAAAAGGCAGCCACTGTCAGAATTTCAGGAAAAGAAGAAATCAAGCACTTTAACACGTCAGGAAAGGATACTCAAAGAATTTGCTAAAATCAACCCAATTGCACCAGCTGAACGTATAAGAGAAACATTCAACACCACGTAAATCAGTGAAAACACAAGCAAGGAATCATTCGAGCGCTTGAGTTGAATCTCATTTGCGACTGCATGCAGAAATGCTTCAGATGTTCCTGCACCAAAGACACAGAAAAACTCGACAATTTCAGAATAGTATCTGTAATCCTTAAGGGTGGTAAAGCTAAAGAAAACTTTAATAGGCCAGGGCAAATTCAACATATCGTCTTCACAAGCCGAAAGCAAATACAGAGCAAATCAGTGGAACAATTATTGCAATTAATAATGCAGGTTGCAAAAGGAGAAGGGAGCATACTTCATTGTAGATCTCAGCTACTTGAAAACAAATATATAAGCTTTCTATCAGTTATGTAAAAGCAATAAGTAGCCTTATCAGACAAAAGTCAAAGGAATAAACAGCTTCATAGATAATAAAAAGAATAAAATCAAATTTGTACGAAAAAATGAGCTAAAACCTCTAATAATAACAATTCATAAAGGCAGTGCTGGTAACAAAGTTCTCGAATGCTCCACACACCATTTAAGAAAGGTGTCCATCAAATAGCATTTGAACATGTTAAGAAATAACTAAATAAATCAAAATGTCCCCTCTCTAACATTATAAGCTTTTAGATGAGGTGATTCACACAATTTCACATGGTATCACTGAGTTCAAGCCGCACCACCATCTATTAATAAATATTCACATGCTTGTCCAATAAAAATTATCAGGCTAGCACGTGAGAAGGCGTGCTAAGACATAATTAAGTAAATAAAAGTGTACACTTTCTAACAGTTTAAAGTTTCACACAATTTAATAAGACGAGAAACTTGCCACTAGTTTCTTCTCTGCCAAAAAAGTAAGACAAAAGTCACCAATTTCAAAAGCATGCATCAAGGTTGTAGCTCTTCAACAAATGACTGGTGGATAAATATGGCCAGATTCCAGTTAAGAGCTTCAGCTGTGCTTTGCCAAAATTTATCAGAAAGCTCAAAAACTGCATCCCTCACAGAACTTTCAAACATGAACAGTACTTTTATCTAAGAAACTTTTGCCGTGGAGGCTGCGGCATACAGTTAATTACAAACTCAAACACATTAAAGAGAAGTCCAAAGTTGGGAGCTAAGTTGCTCGGACACGGGTGTGGATGTCCGACAAGGGTGCGGATCTAGAGTTCGGATCCTTCGAGATGTAAATTCTAAGATTCGGGGATACTGATCCTAGTATGGTGTAACGACCCGACCGGTCGTTTTGAGCATTGCACTTCGCTCGGTTGTTTGAGGGCATGAGTAACTCCGTATGATGTATGATGACCTATGTGAATCGTCGATTTTGGTTTTCAGGTTATTCGGAATTGATTTGGAAGAATGATTCTCAGCTTGAAGCTTTAAATTTGAAATGTTTGACCAAGTTTGACTTTTTAGAATTTGACCTCGGAATGGATTTCTGATGGTTCTGTTAGCTCCATTGGGTGATTTTGGACTTAGGAGCGCGTCCGGATTATGATTTGGAGGTCCGTAGTGGAATTTGGCTTGAAATGGCGAAGTTGGAATTTTGGAAAGTTTGACCGGGAGTGGACTTTTTGATATCGGGGTCGGATTTCGATTCCGGAAGTTGGAGCATGTCCGTAATGTCAAATGTGACTTGTGTGCAAAAATGTGAGGTCAATCGGTCGTGATTTGATAGGTTTCGGCATCGATTGTGGAAGTTCGAAGTTTCAAAGTTCAATGATTCCGAATTAAGGTGTGATTCGTCGTTTCGATGTTGTTATGCGTGTTTGAGGCCTCGAGTAGGTTCATGTTATGTTATGTGACTTGTTGGCATGTTGGGACGGGGTCCCGAGGGGTTCGGGTGAGTTTCGAGCGAGATTCGGAGCATTTTATAGATTTTGGCCAAGGCTAGTGGTTGCCGGTTCTGGTCTGACCGCACCTGCGGCTGGTTTGCGCAGAAGCGACCAAGGGGTCGCAGGAGCGGAAATATTGCTGGGAGAAGGGGTCTGCAGAAGCGGAGATTTGCTTCGCATCTGCGAAGGCGCAGATGCGGTGGGTTGAGTGCAGAAGCGGTTGGCAGCACAGAAGCGATATTTGGGTGCGCACCTGCGAGTGTGCAGATGCGGCTAAGTGTCCGCAAATGCGAAAGTGCAGGGCAAAGTTATAAAAATCGAGGTTTTGGTTATTTCTTCATATTTTGAGATGTGGGACTCGGATGGAGGCGATTTTTGGAGCAATTTTCATCACAGGGATTGGGGTAAGTGTTCTCCACTCAGCTTTGATTATATTTCATGAATCTATCTTCATTTTTGGCAATTGGTTGATGAATTTAAAGAGGAAATTGGAGTTTTGGCCTAAAGTTTCATAATATGAATTTTGAGTTTTGAACACCGATTTGGAGTCAGATTTGGGTGAAAGTAGTATGGTTGGACTCGTAATTGAATGGGTTGTCGGATTTTGTGAGTTTTGTCGAGTTTCGAGGCGTGGGACCGAGTGTAATTTTTGGCCGGATTTGGGATTTGACTCAGTTGAAGGTACATGAGAAGAATTGTCCTGTCCATGATCTCGAGTTAGCTGCTATTGTTCACGCCTTGAAGATCTGGCACCATTATTTGTACGGTGTGCCTTGTGAGATTTATACTGATCACCGGAGTTTGCAGCATTTGTTCAAGCAGAAGGATCTTAATTTGCGCTAGAGGAGGTGGCTAGAGCTGCTGAAGGACTATGATATCACTATTTTGTATCACCCGGGCAAGGCCAATGTGGTGGCCGATGCTTTGAGTCGCCGGGCAGAGAGTTTGGGGAGTTTAGCTTATTTACCAGCAGCAGAGAGGCCCATGGCAATGGATGTTCAGGCCTTAGCCAGCCAGTTTGTGAGATTGGACCTTTCGGAGCCAAGTCGGGTTCTAGCTTGCGTGGTCTCTCGGTCTTCCTTGTTCGATCGTGTATCCGGGAGCGCCAGTTTGATGACCCTCATTTACTTGTCCTCAAGGACAAGGTTTTGCATGGCGATGCCAGAGATGTGATCATTGGTGATGACAGGGTATTGAGGATGCAGGGTCGAGTTTGTGTACCCAATGTTGATGGGCTTCGAGAGTTGATTCTAGAGGAGGCCCACAGTTCGCGGTATTCCATCCATCCGGGTGCCTCGAAGATGTACCAGGATTTGAGACAGCACTATTGGTGGAGGCGGATGAAGATAGTTGGGTTTGTAGCTCGGTGCCTCAATTGTGAGCAGGTGAAGTATGAGCACCAAAGACCGGGTGGGTTGCTTCAGCAGATAGAGATTCTGGAGTGGAAGTGGGAGAGGATCACCATGGACTTCGTAGTTGGACTCCCACAGATTTTGAGGAAGTTCGATGCCATTTGGGTGATTGTGGATCAGCTGACCAAGTCTGCGCATTTCATTCCCATGTGTACTACCTATTCTTCGAAGCGGCTGGCGGAGATTTATCTCCGGGAGATTGTTCTTCTGCATGGTATTCCAGTTTCCATCATTTCAGATAGAGGTACTCAATTCACATCACGGTTCTGGAGGGTCGTACAACATAAGTTGGGTACTCGGGTGGAGTTGAGTACAGAATTTCACGCTCAGACGGACGGACAGTCCGAGCGCACTATTTAGATTCTTGAGGATATGCTCTGTGCGTGTGTGATTGAGTTTGGAGGGTCTTGGGATCAGTTCTTGCCATTGGCGGAGTTTGCCTACAACAACAGTTATCAGTCCAGCATTCAGATGACACCGTATGAGGCTTTATATGGTAGGCGATGTAGATCCCCGATGGGTTGGTTTGAGCCGGGTGAGGCTAGATTATTGGGCACGGACTTGGTTCAGGATGCTTTGGAGAAGGTTAAGGTGATTCAGGATAGACTTCGTACAGCCCAGTCCAGACAGAAGAGTTACGCGGACCGGAAGGTTCGTGATGTTTCCTATATAGTTGGAGAGCAGGTTCTGCTTCGGGTTTCGCCTATGAAGGGCGATATGAAATTTGGGAAGAAAGGGAAGTTGAGTCCGAGGTTTATTGGTTCTTTTGAGATATTGCGGCGTGTTGGGAAGGTTGCTTAAGAGCTTGCCTTACCTCCCAGTTTGGTAGGAGTTCATCCGGTATCTCATGTTTCGATGCTCCGGATGTATCATGGTGATCCGTCGCACGTGTTGGATTTCAGTTCAGTCCAGTTGGACAAGGATCTATCTTATGTTGAGGAGCCAGTGGCAATATTGGACAGGCAGGCTCGGAAGCTGAGGTCAAAGAACATTGCATCAGTGAAGGTTCAGTGGCGGGGTCAGCCGGTCGAGGAGGCGACCTGGGAGACCGAGCGGGATATGCGCAGCCGTTACCCTTATCTTTTCACTACTTCAGCTATGTCTCTATGCTCGTTCGAGGACGAACGAATGTTTAAGTGTAGGTGGATGTAACGACTCGGCCGATCGTTTTAAGAATTAGCGCCCCGATCCCCTATTAACTGTTTTCCACGTGTTTGTTTCTGCAATTTTGATTTGCCGGGATGTTTGGTTTTGAGTTTCAGAGTGTTTTGGGACACTTAGTCCCTAAAAGAGAGCTTAAGCTTTAGAATTTGGACCGTAGTCGGAGCAGTGTGAAGACGGTCTTGGAATGGAATTCCGTCGGTTCCGTTAGGTCCGTTGGGTGATTTCGGGCTTAGAGGCGTGTTCGGATTGTGTTTTGGAGGCCCGTAAGTTATTTAGGCTTGAAATGCCGAAAGTTTGAATTTTTTATGTTTCCGGTTCGATAGTGAGATTTTGATATCGGGGTCGGAATGGGATTCCGGAAGTTGGAGTAGCTCCGTAGTGTTGAATGTGACGTGCTTGCAAAATTTCAGTTCATTCGGACGAGGTTTGATAGACTTTTTGATCGAAAGCGTAATTTGAGAGTTTTTGGAGTTCTTAGGCTTGAATCCGATGTTAATTTGGTGTTTTGATGTTGTTCTGAGCGTTCTGAAGGTTGGAACAAGTTTGAATGATGTTTTAGAATTGGTTGGCATGTTTGGTTGAGGTCCCGGGGGCCTCGGGTGTGTTTCGGATGCTCAACGGGTCATTTTTGGACTTAGGTGTGCAGCAGATTTGCTGGTTTTTCTGTTGCAGACTTTTGGCCTTCGCGTTTGCGAA